GAAGTGCACTGGCAGGAATGTCAGGTGACAGATCACGGGGTTAATGTTAGCTGCCATCCACAGCTAGGACACTGAAATGCTGAGAAATCGATGGCTTCCTCAAAGTCAAGTGTCTAGACTGGCAACACTTGGAGCCCCAGCCAAGTCCATCTGATTCTAAAACTCAGAGTCTTTGGACCTCTAAAGCTGAGGTCCAGTCACATAGAGATGACTGCTTTAAACTGCACGGCTCCTTCAGGGGCCGGCTCTGCAGCCTCCCTGTCCTACAGGTGGCCGTGGCTAACCTGCTTGTCTCTGCAGCAGTCTCTTATAAAACGCAAACTCACGTACTTCTCCACTCGAGATGCGCAACAGCACTTAGAAAAATGGGTCCAAGTCCTGGCTGCACGACAGACTCAAGAAACTCAGCTGCAGGAGAATTCCTGAACATGTCCACTCACACGCTGCCCTTGTCTATCTGGGACGCCGTAACGACAGAAGTACATCCTCCACAGTTCTCAGAACTCTGAGCTCTCAAACCAAGAGCACACAACAGACCAGCACACAGGCAGTGCCCTCTGCATGTTCTCACACGGCCAGGCAGCTGCGGCTCTTTTCTCCGGCCATGATCACCTCCAACATCCCACATGCTAACTCAAAAATAATCTGTTTCGAGTTGATTAGTAAGTATTAAAATGACTTCTGTAAAATACTAAAGGTGATCAAGTAAGAAGAGGAAAGGCTCCTTCAAGGCCAAGTAAAGCACTTGAGTCCCACACGCATCGCACAAAATACAAATCCATTTTAGAAACAGAATGGCTACATTACGTGTTTCCGTTAACACTTATCCAGATAGCTCAAGAGCCATGGACAAGATCTTAGCAATCTCAAGTTAAAGTGGATAAGAGAAAACTTTAATCATATCGGGTTTACTTACAGTTCTGGCTGTGTCCTTTCTAGGCCCTCAAGTCCCATTTTAATGGAATGGAATGTAAATAGAAGCTAACAGAAAAAAAAAAAAATAGCCAGTAAAGCCAGTGCTATGAAACACAAGAGGAAGTGATGGAGGCCCACTGTGCGTCACCGACAAGTGAGAGTCAGGTACAGCAGCTACCAGACAACAGGGACACTGCAATCCCCAGCCTTCTGCCGCTCCACGCCACAGGCCAGGCCACCAAACCACCCTAATTTCAGATCTTTCCCCATTTATATTTTTGTCTGGGAGAAGAAAAAAAAAACCTACGAGTTACCTTGTTATATCTTAAAATAACCTATACACCTTTTATCAATTACTTAATTGCATGTGAGAACGACAGGATTTGTTGCTGCAATATTTGAAAGAAAATTTCACTGCTTATGTTTAATTGCTGTTCTCCTCATTTCCCAATCTTGGAGGAGGCAACAAAGTACCATAAATATCAAAGATCGTCAAAGCAACCTTGATGAGTTGCACGTCAGGCACTGGTAATTAAATGCCAAAATTTTTTTTCAAACAGGGACAACATTTTTAGCAAGACGAGGTTTAAAAGTTTCCAAACTTAAGGCAATGATACATGAAAAGAAAAAAGGTGTATGTGTGTGTGTGTGCGCGTTGTGCGTGTGTGTGTGTGTGTGTGTGTGTGCACGCATTGTGTGTGTGTGTGTGTGTGTGTGTGGTCTCTTTTATACTCAGGGTCCAAACATCAGTCCTACTGTGTGCCTTTGGGCAACTAATCTCTCTTTCCTAAAGTTCACATCTATACAACGACAGAAATAATTGTACCAATCACAAATGGATTATCATGAGGAACAACATAAAACACGCAGATCTGTTCACAAACTGACAGACCGTGTGGCACGTGACTGCTTAACCAATAATAACTCCTCCTGTGGGAACAGACACAATCACTTTTCAAAGACAAAAGAATCTATCATTCTTACCAATTTTCAAATAAATCAGAAAAACTTGAAACTACCTAAACGAGAATGGAGAGTAAGAAAGCCTGCTTTTGCCGCCAGCTGGATGAGTGGCTGGGGTTGATGGGGTCAGACCCACGGCTCCCTTTGCACCACTTCACCCTGGAAGCCACCTCCCGCCCGCCGAGCCTCTCTCATGAACACTCCCCCTCCAGGGTCCACTTTCCACAGAGGCCGTAAAGCAGCCCTCCCCTCAGACGTCCAGGCTAGCCTTAACATGTGCTCAGGCATTCTCACACATGAACAGCACGGATCTCAAAAACATTTAACACCAGAATAAACACATCTTTTCATTCTATTTTTTCCCATGAACTTTCTGAAGCATCCTTATAATTCACAATCTTGGAACTGGCACACCACTGGACGACTATGGATGAATTTTCAAGGGGACAGTCAGAGTGAACGATACGCCAGCTCCTTCACTTCTGACAGTGTCCACGTGTGCAGCAGTGCGGAAAACAAAAGCCGACGATGCAAGTGAAGAAACAGAAGTCACCTGTGAGAGTGAAAGCTTCCTTACAGCACCCAACAAACCCTTCTCCAACACACCGTCCTGGACAAGTTCAACTCACTCCACGCGGCAGGGACGACTCTTCCCCTGCCCACAGGTGCTTTTTCTTCTCCAATTCTACATCTTTCTGATAATTCTCATTGCACTTTGGGTTTTGGTTTCCCCCATCGGTCTCCATGTGGACCTCCCAGAGTAATGAAAAGTTACAGGGGCCCTTGAAGCTACTGCTTCCATCACTTAACCCAGCCACATTAATTATGGTAATAGATGTGCCTCAGTTACATTCTGGCATCATTTTAAAAACAACAGCAAACCTCCTTCAAGAACCCCAGGGTTTTCAAACAGGCTCAGCAGAACAGCCATTGCACAGTAAGAGCTTAGCAAACATTTGCTACACCAGTGCCCTCCTCACCATATAATCTGGCCATTCCACAGTTAACCGTTAACTGCCAGCTCACAGGCAGGGGTGGGGCATGCTTTCCTGGCCAACAGTACAGAACTCGTGAGCAAGCCTTGCTGGTCTCTTCAGCTGCCTGACTCCTAGGCTTGGCACCAGTTGGACAGACTGTCCAGGGAACATGGATTTGCACCAATCCTTAGATTACTTTCAAGAGAGAAAGGTGACACACTGCTGGGGTCTTCCACTGCCCACCTCTCTCAGGCCAGGGATCCACCAACGGACCTCCAACAGATTCCAACTGCTGAAGGCCAAGTTCAAGCCCATTCTCTTCAGCACTGCTGACATCACAGCCCCACTCTTGAATCTTCACCTCACCACGCGTCGCGGTGGATCTCAAACCAAACGCTTCGTCAGCTCGCCGCCTGCTCCCCCGGTGAGAAGCTGACTTCTTGCACTCACTCACCTTCCCTTATCACAGTTCGGTGAACCACAGAAGACACGCTGGATGTCCGTGTGGCAGGCTGGGGCACGTGGCCAAGACAGCCCAGAGCCTTTCCAAGGTGCCGCCTGCTGCGTGGAGATGGAGGCTGGCAGGCGAGAGCAGCTAAGGAGCGACTGCCGGCCAAGGAGGCAATGAATGAGTTCTCTGGGAAGTGAGGTTTAAGAATCGGGAAGACTCAGTGTGAGGAGAAAACGGGCTGCCTTTTGAGTCTTGTCTGTATGTGTGCGTGTGTGTGCATGCATGTGTTAGGCTTGAGGAGACAGATGAAAAGATAACACATACAAGCTAACACACATGCACACACAGCACCTAGCCTCATGTGCTCTGCAGCTGCAGGACTGCCCAGTAGAGTCACCCTCTCTGCGGTGTGTCCTGTCAGTACCTCCCGGCATCCCCTGCCTCGCTCCATCCCACTCATCCATGCCCAGCCAACATATGGCAACCAGCTCCTCAGCAGACCTCCCCACTTTGTTCATGCAGCCTCTACGTATGGCCTTAGACTAGTCAAGTGAGTCCCTACCGCACCATGTGCAGTGCCTCCGAGGCCCGAGTATTCTAACATGACTGTCACAACTCCAACCAAAAGTCAGTCAGATGTGACTCCCACTCTGTTCGCTACGCTCCAGCCTCACAAATAGAATTCACTGTCTAAATATACCTGATTCTGAAAGCACTACTGGCCAAACCTAGTGCACAAACATGTGCGTGTGATTTCAGCATTTTTGCCCTCTAGTCAGGCAATGTGGTAATGCTAACATTCTGCTTCACAAAAACTCTATGTTAGACATAATTGCTAACATTTATTAATTGCGTGTCTTGGACTACACAGTAGCTCACATGGCATATAACCTTACAACAGCCCCATGAGGGGATAGGGGAAGAAGCTAACCCATACAAGAACCAGTAGACTCCAGTGCTCTGACTGCTCCGACCCTGCAATTCATTTGGCTTAGATCGTTATTTCAACGTTTCCTCTGGATGCTTCATCTTCTCCCACCAACATGTTTATATTGAGAACTAGCCAACAGAGAACTTCCTAGCCCCCTGAGCGTGTGTAAATCTTACCCAGGCAGATTGACTCTGATGGTCTGAGCTGTTCGTTTCTGTGCTCTTCGGTGCACGGAATACTCAGTGGGGTCTCCCACGCCCTTCTCTTTGGCTCAGGATAATTGATCATTACACTGCCTCTCCTCCAAGTCTCTAAATGAGAACAGTCCCAGAGCCAATGAGCCTTAACCACACTGCAGCGCCCAACCCAGGTCTACCCTGGGTGTATCATGATGCTCATACGCTACAGGACAGGAAGCGAAAGGAACAGAAGCTCCCATTTATAATTGGCATTTTTAAATACAAGAAGATCAAGATACAGTAGGCAGAAGCAGTTGGCATCGCATCTTGTCATCCGTGTGTTCATGTAGCCTTTTTACTCCCAGTTCTTGGTCCATTCATCTTTCCCCACTGCTGGCCTGCGTTCTCTGCAGCACCAATGAGACAGAGCCGTGTCGGAGATCACCCAGTGGCTCGCACTGGCTGGCAGGCAGGCTAGCCAACAGCAGAGTGAGTCCATCTACCTGCACCCAGCGTCAGCTCCCTGTCTCCTCTCTTTGGGCCTCCATCCCCCTCTGGCCCATCCCAGTCTCCGTCGATCTTTCTCACACTCCTTTCTCCACAGCATACTCTGGGATGGAGCAATCCCCATGGGAGTCAGCCCTAGGGAATAAACCTGTTTGCCTCTGCAGCCTAAGTGTTTCTGTCTCTCTCCGGGGAATTCCATTTTGATGGAACAGCTTCTCAGACAAATGCACCAGGACAGTGCCCTTCCAACGCGCACGTTCAGTCTGTGTAGAAACTGAGCAGGAACAATATTTCAGTGAAGGCCATCACACAGATGTTCCAACATGTGGATGTTGGAGGTCCAGCGCTCAAAATGGCCTGGGCATGATCCTGGTGATGATCACATGATCACATTTTTGGGAACTTTACCCAAGTGAGGTGCCTTTTGCTCTTCCCATATTAAGGCCACCAATACGAAGTACAGTCCAGGCCTCACAAAAATCCAGTGTCCCTACAGCATGTGCCAGTATCCCTACAGCATGTCCCAGTGTCCCTACAGCCTGTCCCAGTGTCCATACAGCCTCTCCCAGTATCCCGACAGCCTGTCCCAGTGTCCTTACAGCCTGTCCCAGTGCCCCTACAGCCTGTCCCAGTGTTCCTACTGCATATCCCAGTGTCCATACAGCATGTCCCAGTGTCCCTACAACCTGTCCCAGTGTCCATACAGCATGTCCCAGTGTTCCTACAGCCTGTCTCAGTGTCCTTACAGCCTCTCCCAGTGTCCTTACAGCCTCTCCCAGTGTTCCTACTGCATATCCCAGTGTCCTTACAACCTATCCCAGTGTCCCTACAGCCTGCCCCAGTGTTCCTACAGCCTGTCCTAGTGTCCTTACAGCCTGTCCCAGTGTCCCTACAGCCTGTCCTAGTGTCCTTACAGCCTGTCCCAGTGTTGCGAGAGCCTGGCCCAGTGTCCCTACAGCCTGTCCCAGCGTCCCTACAGCATGTCTCAGTGTCCCTATAGCATGTCCCGAGGCTGGTCATCTTCCTGACTCTAGCCTAGCTCATGTTACATTTTCCTTATGTTATTAAAACAGCAGAATTTGTTTTCTTTCCAAAATGAATACAAAATTAGGTTAAATTTAAGAAAAAGAATATACAACGGGGGAGCCCAATTCCAATTTTAAAAGAACAAAATAGTCACAAACAATACACTGTCTGTAGCATCTCTATGGTTGAACATCCAGGACACGCACTACTAAGTCAGGTCATGGCAGAGCCACGTCAAGGAAGTCCTGTCCAGACGGAGAGGCTTATTACGGCCCGTGCGACTCCCTAAAACTCACCGCTGCTTGCCATAGTTCAGCGGTTTGCTTCAGCGACACAATGGTCAAGGCAGCAGTAACCTGCAAGCTAGAAGTAGCTAAAACAGGAACCCAGACACACAACAAGGACACTTCCAACACCTCACACTGTAGCCGAAATGCATTTGCACAAAACAGGAAACCATCACAGAATCATCAGTAACCCAGGGAATCTTCCAGAAAGGACCTGGTCCTTAAGGTTCCCAGCACGCAACCAACCCCTCCCAGTGGGTGGGCACTGGCAAAGGGGCACCAGGCAGCACAGCGCAGCGTCGTGGCTGCACTGCAGCTGTTGGCACACCTGGACACAGAAGCAAGGCTAGAAAGATGAGAAACAAGGCCAAGTCAGGCTGGGTGTGCTCTCTGAAGAGGCCGGGTTTTGTTTTAATAATCACAAAGAACTGGCTACAATGTAAACGTGTATGCACTAAGGAAAAGATAACAAAAAGGTGCCTTGAGCAAACTACCGCACGACCTCTCCATCAGCTGACGCAGCTAACGAAGCCACATGCATAAATAACTGCAGCGACTCCCTCGTCCGAGTCCCCCTTCTCAGGCGACGCTTTCTAGGAGCCGTGACAAAGGCAACGGTCCTGACAGATACCTGCACCAAGTGTTGCTAGCAAAACAAAGAACTGGAGCCAGTGCATCGTCCTCCACCACCCAACAGAAACCAGACTCCTGCCTGGCTCTCTTCTGGCCGGTTGTTCTGTAACCTTCGCAGTAGTTTTAACAGTGCAGTTACTGCTCATGTCCCCTAGCTCTTACTCACAGTGTGCAGTAAAGCACTGAGAAGCCATTAGATCCCGATGACAAGACTGCATCTGGCACGCTGCAGACCCGCGGTAAACGCTTCCCGAAGGGAATCGGTGCCTTTCGAGTCCCAGTCCTGCTTCAATCAGACACCTTGCAATACTTCACTCCAGGTCAGATCCTTGTCCTGAATGCTGCAACCAACTGGCTGACATGACCACGAGCTACCTTAAAAACCACATGCACAGAAGGGTGTCTTCCAACAGACATTTGTGCTGTCAAAAGTACACAGACAGATTCATAAGAATGCAGTTAGCTATTAGAAGTTTAAAGAAATAATCAAAAAAAACTCTAAATGGAACGAGACACCCTTTTACAATAGTGGGTAAAGTGGATCTAGTGCTGTGCATTCAAGTGAGGAAAGAGAAGGCTGCTCATGATACTAAATCAAGCTAGAAAAGGGTCACTTTTAAGATAAGCATCACATGTATGTGATTTTAAATTGCCTATACTTAGATATATCACAAAACTTAACAAGATCACATATGGGCAGTAAAATGTCTCCCGTTGGAAATTGTTCTTATGATGAGACAGACATCTCCCACCTATTGGTTCATTTCCCAAATGCCCACACCAGCAGAGGTGGGCCAGCCTGAAGCCAGGAGCCAGGATCTCACCCCGGAGCCCAACGTGTGTGACCAGAGTTATGGAGGCTGCCTCCCTGGTGGGCCTCAACAGAAATACAGAACTGGGAGCAAAGCCAGGCTGCAAACCCAGGCACTCTGCCAGGGCACGTGAGCAGGTTAACTGCCCCACCAAGTACCCCACCCTATACTGAGCTCTCTAAGTGAATGATCACCACACAGAAACGTTCAGAGGGAAAAAGAAAAAAACACCTTTATTTGCACCTTCAGTCTTAACTACAAACGTCTTCCCAGTCACTGTGCGCTCCTCTGAGCCCTGCCCCCTTTTCACTCACTCCTGAAACTTCACACAGGACTACACTGCCACCAACCTCCACTCCTTACCCACCGACTTCTGCCCTTCTTCTTCCAGTCACTTCTCTCCCTCCCCAGGAATCTCACAGCTGCTTTCCTTCCTCTCCTCCAGCCCCTGTCCCTGCTTCTGTGCACAGTCCTGCGTGGCTCAGCCCAGGGTGCCCAGCCGGGGCATCTCCCACTAGTCTAACTGCAGTACTGCACATTTTTCTGACAACAAACTTCTGCTAGTTTCTCAGATGTGTCACAATCCCATGCTATTTCCTTCATCCTGGTATGTACCTCCCTTTCCTAGACAGCATATCAGGGCACTTCTGGGAAGGATTCAAGGCAAACGCAGTCACCTCCGTAAAGCTTTCCTGTTCTCATACCTTGCACCCTTTCTCCTTCCTCTGTGGTCTACGGAAACACAGCACTTACTGTGTATTGCTGAGTGTCCACAGCTTCCCTGCTAATGGCATTTGAGAAAGGCATATAACTCACAAACTGAAGTTTTTCCAACTCTAAGATCAGAAAACAGAACGAAGAAAGCATGCAAATCAGGCAAGAGACCCTAGGACCATTCTCCAGGACCAACAAAAGGGGCAGATTTTTCTTAGAAACTTTGGCTTGGGTCCACAACGCTGGCCCGATCTTCACTGACACATCACTGAACCTGCTGTCATAGGCTCCCTTCTCCCTGGGAGAGCCTTATTTCACAGGGACTCTTCTGACTCGTCTGTTGATCCTCAGCCCCAGCACAGAGCTAGGCAAGCAGCAGCTTCTCATGGATTTCCATGGAGTGACACAGCCAAGCAAGTCGTGGAAAGCATTCATCATTTGGGTCATGGGCCCCCAAGTCACACAACATGACTCAACAAATTATTCCCATTACCAGCAGAAGAGAGAACATAAATAAAGCACCTTGCACAAACCCTAGAACAAAGTACATCCTTAAAAAAGCTACCCACAGTTACAAAAACAACAAAGAGAATCATAAGCAGGTCAGTCAGTAAGGACTGAAGCCATCGGGCTGTCCGAGAGACTCAGCACCAAAACACCAAGGATTTACGGTTTGCTCTCTATCCACACCTGCAGAAATCCCATGACTTCTTCTCACTCATGAATCCCAGATGAAATATGGAGAATGGCCCCCAAGACCTTATCAGGCACAGGGCAGTGAAGAAAGGTCCCTGGTCATTAAAGGCAGCCACTGTGAAACAACACACACCATCTCTCAAGCATGATCAGGCCCTTGACAAGCATGGTACTCAGCAGAAACACAAACAAAAAGCTGGCATCACTGAAGGCATCTTAAAAGTAGGTTAACTGTCTACCAGGTGCAGCAAGCAGGAGAAAGGCTTAGGCAAAAATAAAACCGCACACAGATGTCCACAGGAGGAGGCTCGGGGCAGGTGTGGGGAAAGCATCTAAGGCCAGGATGGCTGCAGTGTGGCCGGTACCCAGGCTGGGGAGGGTCAGGGCATGAGAGCCTTGATGTGAGCATGAGGCTGCGAGGAAGAGCAACATGTGAAACATAACAGGGCCACTCCGCCATCAACCACCAGGAAGGAAGCAGACTTCTATCCTGATGTTACCTTGTCTGAATCATGCTCCTGTTTTATCTGTCACCTGATTTTGTAACTTGAAAATAGCAAAACACATTTTTTTTGAAGTGGTGGAGAAACACCATACTTAACTTTTCGAAAGCCACTGGCTGCAGGACCTGAAGGAGCAGATGTACACACCCAGGCTCCAGGAAGGACAGGTGTCACCTCTGTGTAACAACCACCTCATGTCTGTCTTCAATTCAGACAGCGAAGACCTAAGTGTAGCTACTTAGTTAATGGTTTCAAAGACTAAATCTAGGCAGACTGAGGATGAAGAAGTTCATGTTTAAAAAAAAAAAAAAGTGTCTCCAATTGAGTTTGGTGACATTTTCTAACAAAATATTTTTCAGAGTAGTTCTTTTCTTGGGTATGAAAGCCAGCATACATTCATCTTTGTAGCATAAAATATATAAGGGCCTGTATGATGACTCAATTGGCTAATCCTCAAACACTGGGATCCCATATGGGCACCAGTTCACTTCCTGGCCATTCCACTTCCCATCCTGCTTATTATCCCGGGAAAGCAGTAGAGGAAGGCCTGGAGACTTGGGACCCTACGCTTGTGTGGGAGACCAGGAAATGGATCGGCTCAGTTTCAGCTGTTTAAGCCATTTGGGGAATGAACCAGGTGATGAAAAATCTTTCTTTCTGTCTCTCCTTCTCTCTGTCCATGTGCCTTTCCAATAAAAATGAATGAAACTTAAAGAAAAAAAAATGTAGACAGGCTTACACCATCTCAAATTCACCTGCTAATGTCCACAATCCGGGCCTGATGTACATGGGATCCTAACCGCACCCATCACTATCCACATCACACGGTCCCGGTCAACTCCCTGGTCCTCAGCTGGCTTCACAGAGCCCGGAGGGAAGCTCCCCATGGAAATGTGTGATGAGACGATGCCCTGCTACCCAACACCTGCCCTACGCCACAAGCCACTTTCAAATCCACAAAGAGAAACCTGCAGTCTTTTTCTTTATAGGAAAATTCCAAGCTTGCAGGGAATGCCCCCTCTGCATTCAGCCACTACACATGCACTTCATGCACTTCCCCTTCTCTGCACATGGTCGTGAAAACCCCCGCACAGCAAGTTCCACCTCTATTTGCCACCGCGTGATCACGAATTCACAGCCAAGGTCACGGGAGAGGAGTGAGAGACCTTGACAGGGAAGCATCCCTTTCCGTAGCTTCCTACGTGATGTTTCAGCAGGTGGCCGAATGGCGGGCAAATCACCCCACCTCAGCTTTCTCCACTTACAGCTAAGAAACCCTGCCTCCAGTTTTCACTTTGACTTCATTTTACTATGTTTATTTAACTTGATTCATTTGAAAAGCAAAGTGATTGGGGGTGGAAGGAGCGAAAAGAAGAAACAGCTGTCTGACTCTTGAGGTGTTCACAACAGCTGGGGCCAATGTCGAGAGAACTCAAGCTGGGTGTCTCATGGGGGTGTGAGAAATCCAAAGACTTGGAGCTGGAACCTGCTGGCGCCCAGAGAAGGCAAAGCAGGAATGTGGATCAGAACCGGAGGCAGGACTTAAGCCCAGGTTCTCCAATATGGAATTATGGGGGGAACCCCTGCCACCATCATGTCCACCCCACACTTTAACTTTCAATTTAAAAGTCTCCCAGCGGAAGCCAGCGAGGGCCTGAATCAGCATCAGGGCCAGCCCCAACACTGTTCCCAACCCTTGGCTCACTCCTTAGACAGACTTCATTTCCGCAGAATAAAAACTCCAGGAGGTTTGTTTTCAAAGAATCCTTTCAAACTGCAAGGGACACAAAGCCAATTCATATTAACTTGGGCACAACCACAACAAGAACAGCAAAACTCATCTGTTGTCCATGAACCTGTCACTTGAACCTACAGCAAATTGTCTGAAACATGAATTCACAAACGTTCCCACGTGGCATTTTCTCCAATTACAACTCAGACACAGACGCCTTCCAGTGACTGAAAACCCACCCAGCACCGCTTCATGGCCACAGGGAGGCAAAGGGCACTTCTCCCAGAGTCCGCCAC